GTTATCGCCAATCAGCACTTTGGGTCCTCAAAACGCTTTAAAGCAGGAAGAACTAAATGTTCTTCGAATATATGGCCCTCAAAGGACCCGGTTTTTGAGCGATTATAACGTGTGTTCCATCTGGTCCTCCCTCCATCCAGGTATCATACATATTTTTTGCCTCATAAACAACATAAGGTGGCAAAACTGTGCCTACAGCATTTCCACAAAAAATTACACTTGTAGATAGAGTTTGGACGATTTCAGGATACGATCAGGATATTTGCAGCCCCGTTTTGTTAAAACTTTTTTATTACCTGGGTCATCGGATAAGTTGGACTCATCGTAATTCCAAATATTTGTCGGTGGAATCCCCCTTAATTCTTCTTATAGGTGGTGGAAGTATTTATTAATATCGGCATCTGAAACGCCGGCCCGAACGGATTTTATATTTGCAAACCTTTGTGTCACTGCTAGTTGTCTTTTTAAAAATAGTCTTACCCATTCACTACCAGGAAGATTATTTGTAAATCTGCTTATAAATACCTACACCCTTTCGATCTAGATAGCACTTCACAAGTTTTCTTAAATCTAGGGAATCTAGAGTAAAACCATAGGACGATGTTAATAATAGATTTGCTCCGAATTTTTTTTCTTCCTCCGCTGACAACACGGTCTGGCCGCCTGCAGGTCTATTGTGCACTCACTTCAGCTTATTCTGCAATGTCGCCCGAAGTATTTTGAATCTCGTAGACCATTGTCTTTGTGATATTACTCCCGATCTAATCAGTCGAAGTGCCTCTTCTAGTTGTGCTGTGGTATAATTGCTATAATTCTTGCTTACTATGACTCTTTTGTAGCTACCCATTTTCCCTAGAAATGAATGCGAGCTGTTAAGTTTATCACAAAAAAAAACACTTGTTACCGGTCGAAAACAACGCAAACATGTGATGGCCAAAGTCGGACAAATACTAACGAATAATGTATTGGGCGACTTTGGCCGCCCTCTAGCGGCAGCCCCTGAAAGTTCAAGTTTGCTCATTTGGCTCATTAAGTTTCCTAAAGGTTGTATGATTTTTATATTATATTTTTGCATGAAAGTCATAGATGTCGCCTCATTGTCAAGCTGTCAAGTTTTGACGGAAAAAAAATCTGTTTTTTTATAAATTTTCCTATTTAATTTTTTTCAAATACTTGAAATCAAATTATATTACGTATAGTATACATTTTGTTCGAGTCCATTATAATCTATAGCATCATTAAAAAATGCTATACCGCGCATAAATATTATTATAACGTAATGGCGCGTAAATAAAACAAATATTGAAAAATGGCCAAAGTCAACCCTGGTGGCCAAAGCCACCCAAGTTTTTACGGTACTGCACATACTACGATAATAAATTGATTGATATTTTCCCCCTATAAACAAGCATCCAAAGCGGCTACGACCTGGAGCGTTTCAAGTCATTAGTAAGGGTTATACAGTGTGATCAAAGAATAAAAGTGTTATTGGAGTATTTTTCATAATTTTGTCTTTGCTCAAGAATTATGGTGATTTGATATGCTTACTTGCTATTCAACTTCTCGATTCTCTTAAGAGCCTAGTGGAAAAAATGAAAATGTGGTTTTGTAGCTCGCTGTGGAGCTTAGTTTTTAGCTCACTGTGAACATTTCATTCGAAAATATTAAAAAATGCAACCTCATTTGTGAAGAACGTCTAAATCAGTTTTTTCACGAATTTTACCTTGTGTTTTCTTTTTCCAGTCTAAGCGGCGCGGCGGTGTATACACACTGGGATATTAAAAAAAGATGGTGGCCCTTCTTTATAATATCGCGTATATAAGTAATTCTGGAAATATGTGTTCATAATCATGATCGTTGATGTAAAGTGAATAGTCCTAATTGCGTAAATGGAACGTTAAACTTATCCCTGGATTATGTCTTATCCATCTCTCTGACACTGGTCATAATTCAAACCACAGTTGTCGAATATATTAATTTCCTAACATTTCGGCTGCCTTGAAGGCCTTTGTCACAGTAAAAATTATCACAAATAAATGTATGAACTTGAAAGTTTTTGTTCCTTCCTGTGAAAATCTTTTTACTTCCCACGCCATTGGCTGACAATGAAATATTCTCTTTTTGGATGTGTGACATTTACACCATGAAAAAAAGATGGCTCTGATTCGCATTCGAGATCATTTCCAACAAGTTGAAGAGGATTCGAGGACAAGAAATACGTTTTAAAAACAAACTTTTATTGATCTGCCAATAAAGTGAACAAAATGTTTAAATATGTTTTTCTTTTCTTTTCTTATTAAATTGATAACTTCATACAAGTTATCAAATTCAAATAAAAGCGTGTTACACTTTTTTCTATCATGCGGTCAAAATCAAACGCCCTTTTATCTGAATACTTGAATTATTACCAATCGGAAAAAATATTTTTACAAGCTTTTTTCAACTTGACCTGTCTGTATGTGTGATGTGTGGGAGAAATCTTGGAACTGAGCCAGTTAACTTTACTCAGTTGAACTGAAATGTTGTAGGTACACACGTTTTTCGCGTGACAATACTAAATGAATTATCTGTTGCCATTTTTAATTCAATATGGCGGAAAGTGCTTTTTAAGAGAAAACAATAAGAAAAGTGATATGCTAAATCCAAGATGGCGGCCGCCACAAAATGGTGACTTACATATTTTGCATAGTAACTTTTATGACATTGATATCAAATCAAAGGGCTTGGTAAGAGAAACACATTTGGGAAAGTTACGTCATGCTTAATCCAATATGGTGGCCACCACAAAATTGCGAATTACATTTTCATAGTGGCCTCGATGACAATAGAGAAAATAAATGAATCAAGTCAGTCAAACAGGCCCATACGATTGGTCTATCCTTTCTCCAAAACTACGAGTCCGAATCGGCTGAAGTTTTGACAGTAGCCTCTACGCGAATGTACTACACGACAGCAAACTCCTCTTGCGATAGAGGCGCCAGCGGGAGGTGAGGCTAAGTTCTTATGGGACAACCTTCGTATTTCGTTCAAGCAGCAAAAGTTATGAAATCAGTCTTTGTGTGTATGTGTGTGTGCGTGTGCCGTGCGTGTGTGTGTGTGTGTAGGTGTATGTGTGTGTGTGTGTCGACTATACGCTGATGATGTAATATTTTCCTGTCCAGTATTTAGTTTGACTACGATTCTCACACTCAGAACGATCACAGGCAGTGTTCGGTTATTAAATTAGTGGTTGGCCATTTCAGAATAGACCTGCAACTGCCAGCAGCAGAGTGGCAAGTCCCAAGTCAATCCAAATTACCAGCGATACCCCAACAAATGACAGCTCCAACTGCAGTTCTTGAGCAGCTCGGACCCGTCTTCATTCAACAGTATCAGGTAAGTCATTGCATGGTTGCATGACACCAACAAGGCTAATCTATGGATTATTTTATTATATATGTATATATATACATATATATATTGTTGAGATTACAATTCTCTAGATGCAGGAACGCAAACGTTAAACAGATTCTAAAACGCATCAATTGCCCCCCAAAAATACAGGGTGTTTCAGAAAGACATGCCAATATTTCTAGAGTAGAAAGTACAGGGTGGCCAACTAAAAATACGAGGTACTGTATCTGGGAACCTATCAATCGTAGAGGCTAGCGCTTGCGCCAGTTATTACTATAATGGCCAAGAGAAAAACCTGGAAAATATTTTCAGAGGTAGGCCTAACTGCAATCTTGAATGTAAAATCCGAATCTGAACTTTTTTTGATTGACATTTTTGTAAAAATAAAGTGATGGGAAGATTTCCCTAAAAAACACCCTGTATCTTCGAAACGGCTGAGCCCAGTTTAACAACCTTGGCTAGCTATTCTTGGGTTATAAATTTTATATTTGAAGTTTCGTTAGTGTCACATGTGGATGTTAGAGGGCTTTATTCGACATTCCGACAGAAATGGGTGATATTGTGGAAAAAAATAAGTGCATTAGTATGATTTTTTTTATGGAAAAGTAGCTAAATGATGTTTAAACAAGCTCACGAAAAGCGCTTCTCGATACCTTGTTCCTAACCTAAAATTTAGATCATAGATCAAGTTTTATACGGAAATCCCTTGAATTCAAATTTTTTTAAACTATTTTGTCTGGACTTTTTTTTATTATCAAGTTGTGGCCAATTTACGGGCGCACTAAAAACTTTTATTTTTTAACTTGGTCCTTTTTAGTGCCACTACTTGATAAAAAGAAATTAAAGAAAAAGTTGTTTAAAAAATAAAAATTGTGGGGTTTTTCCATATTTATACCGTCTTTGGCCTATATTGTAGGTTAGGAACAAGATATCGAGATGCGGTTTTCGCGAGCTTGCTTATACATAATTTAGCTACTCTTTCGAAAAAAAGATTCATACCAATGCATTCAATTTTTTTGAGAAAATTAACCATTTATGCCGGAATGTCGAAAAAGTCCTCTAGCGCCACAAGTGATACTAACAAAACTTCCAATATAAAATTTGCAACCCAAGAATAGCTCTTTTCAACTAGGCCAAGGTTCAAGGCGTTTTTTACGGAAACATTTGAATACCCCCATTCCCACCACTTTATTTTTAGAGATTCAACAAAAAATTTTAAACAACAAAGGTTCAGATTATCCTCGAATTTTGAGATAAGGCATTTTTTTCTTTATAAGTTGAAATAGCGGAATTCACAGAAACATCACTTTTTTGATTCAAGATTGCAGTAATGCCCTCTAGCGGCCATTTCAGAAACATGAAAATATTTTTCAGGTTTTTTTTTTACCGTTTTAGTGAGAACTTTTTTTTTGACGCAATCCTATATGATGGATAAGTTTCCAGATACAGTACCTCGTATTCTTAGGTGGCCACCCTGTACATCAAAAAATAACAAAAAAAGTTCCAATGAATATGGGTTCAAACAGTGTTACCAGACCTAGAGAGATTTTCATATATCTAGGGAATTTCGAGCAAGCTTAGGGACAAAAAATAAACGGGAGGTAGAGAATAAACTAAGAAACAAATATGTTACTTTTAAAATACCTTCCGATTGTACCTCTAAAATATTATTCAAAATATATTAAAATGGACGAACACCCAATTGTGTCAACAAATCATGACTCATAACATTCGGGGAATTACTAAACGAAACGCTGTGGTTCCCCGTCGTTGATTCCTCATCGGTGATTCCCCGTCGGTATTTTCCCGTCGGTGAATACCAGAACGGTACTTTACATACGGGGAAATACCTGAGCTATAATATAATATGTAAACCGCCGGGTGGTTTCTGTTGCATTTCCTGCTGTTTATATGTAATTGTACGGATTGTTCCCTGTGCTAACTGTGCCTTAGAATAACTATTGTTTTTAGTTTGTGCTGTAAAATTATTAACGAATAATGATTAAAATTTTTCGACATTGAACTTATTTGCCATAGGTAAGTACCTATTTATTTATTATAAAATATTTACTTTTCTAATTATTATACTTGATCAGGGAGGTTCTTCAGAGCTTACTCAGAAATTAATAATCTAGTATTAAAGTTAATGAAAAAATATTTCTATAAATTAATGAAATATTGATATCATAGACATACATATTATAATATGCATATCTATGATCTATGTATTTTGAACCAAACTTCTAAATTTGTTTGCTATTGTTTCTTTATAATTACAGATGTAACATCATGTCCTCAATTACACCTCAACCATCAACTTCTGAACATGCTGATGAATTGGAATCCTCACCGTCTTCTGAAGAAGCTGGACACATAAGAAAAAAATCATAAAGTCCTATACTCCGAAATATACCGCTGCATGGGAACAAGAACCTGAATTTAAAGGTGGGCTGAGGAGCAGCAAGAAAGGGACCAATTTGTATTCTGCAAGGCAAGCAATAAGATTTTATATATGGCAAATCCGAAATCCAGAAACATTCTTCAGGAAAACAGCACACCACATTGGTAAAATCATTACACACAGAAAAAAACTTTGACTGATATGACATCGTATAAGGAAAAAATATCTTTTAACACCTTAACCGTCACGTGGTCTGCCGTTGACCCACACTTGTTTTAACTTTCCACGCCAGTTATTAATTCCAATGCATTTACCTCCAGGCCGTCCATCAGAAAACGTGTCGTGCAAAGAATACGTTTTAAGTTGACCACGTGGCAAGCTCTAAATATTTACACTGATTTAAGGTTATCTACAAAGGTCTTTTATCTCCGAGTATAATTTATTATATTCAATCAACCCTTGATGGAATACAGATTTGTAGCATATGTTATACTTTTTGGTCATTAAATGGAAGTCATCTTTATTTCTGGTATTATGTAAATGATGATCGGCATTTGATGATGTTAAATTAGTTAGACTTGATGGAAATATATTATTTTTTACTTTATAAATTACAAGATATTTGATAAATTTTTTTACATTGAGCCATTTTAATTTGCTAAGCATTTGCGTAATTGGAGTATATTTATCTTTATTTAGTATTATTCTCATGCACTTTTTTGTAAAATTTGCAGTCTTTCAAAAATGGAATTATTTGCTAAATATAGAATAGTCGAACAGTACAAGAAATTTGGAAGAATGATGGTATTATAGATAATTTTTCTGCTATATGAACTCAGACATCCAGAAACTCTCGATAAATATCCCTCTTTACTACTAATCTTATTTATAACTTTTTCATAATGAATATCAAAAATTAATCGAGAGTCAACAAAAACCCCCCGGTATTTAAAATTTTCTACGAATTCAATATCTTCACCATCAATATTCAGTTGAACATTTTTTTTTTATTTAACAGATAGTACCGCATCAACCTCGTAGGGTTATTAGCGGCGTGGACGGCACAATAATCTATGTATTGAAGTACATGTCAATGTCTTTGATAAATTTCACAAGTTTATCGGTTTGATGCATTAACACTTCACTGATGCCATTAGAAAGGTGGTTGAGACTTCTGCATTTTGATAAGTAGGGCACTCCATCAGGATGTGAACCACCGTGAGCCGCTGGTTGCACGTTTAACAAACTGGGGCATCGGTTCCTTCAAAGACGTGCTTGTGAGTCACTAGTGTGAGGCCTATCCGGAGACGTGACATAATTATCTGGTTCCTTCTTCCTGAAGGTAGGGTGAATCGCGTGTTGACATCTGGAGCAATTGCGAGTAGTTTGCTGTGACTGCCATTCCATTTCTGTTGCCAAAGACTGGTTATGTGCACTTTTATTAGTCCTTTCAAATCTTGGTAGGGTATCACACTTCTGCTTGAAGGGACTGCCGCTCTTGATGCTTCTTTGTCAGCCTCTTCGTTGCCTGGGATTCCAGTATGTGCGGGTACCCACAGAAACTTCAGTTGAACATTTGTACATTGTTTTTTCCGATTAACAAGGCTTTCATTTTACTTGCATTTAATTTTAGTCTGTTAGATGCTAACCATTTTGAGACAAGCTGCAAGTCTTCATTTATATAAGAGATACCAGACTGAATATCTTTAGTACTTATATAAATCATAGTGTCATCGGCGAAAATCTGAATTTTGCAATTTTTGACTATGGCAGGTAAATCATTTATATATAAAATAAAAAGTGGTCCCAGGATACTGCCCTATGGAACACCCAAAGTATTTTCAATTTTTGATGAAATAGTGTCATTAACTTTTGTAACTTGCATCCTTTTAGACAAATAATTTCTAAACCAATCTAAAACACTTCCTGTTATACCATATATATGCCTTCAATTTACCTAACAAAATATCTCTATCAATCGTTTCAAATGTCCTCATCAAATCCAAAAATACTGCTATGACAACTTCTTCTGAGTCTATGGCTCTTCTCCAATTCTCAGTTACGAACTGGAAAGCTGTTTCTGTGGAATATTTTTTTCGAAAGCCTGCTTGCGCCTCCACTAAAATTTTGTTTTCTTCTATAAACTGCATTAATTGGTCATGCACTATGGACTCTAATAATTTTTCAATGTCTGGTAACACATTTACAGGTCTCATATCGCTGCATCTTTTAGAATTTTTTATTTTGGGAACTGGTGTTATTGTAGAGCATTTCAAATTTTCAGGAAAAGAACTGCTTCTCAGTGAACAATTGATCCAATTTAATACAGGATATCCCAAAATTTCGAAACAGTTTTTCAGCACGTTTTTAGTGGTGATTTCGGTACAGTTGTTATTTGATTTTAAACTGTTTACTTTTTTTCTTAGATAATTCAATGAAACGCTGTGAAATTTTGAAAGTGTATGCAACATTTCCCCCTGGAAACTGATTTTTATATAGTCAGGTGCAGCATTGGCAGTACCCACAATATCAACAATACTTTCCACAAAATATTCATTTAGTTTGTTTGCAATCACCAAATAATTTGTTTCGGTACCGTTTTCGAATTGAACTTGATTTACACAATCATGCGGCTTCGAATTGATCAGTCTTTTTAAAGTCTTCCACATCTTTACACTGTCCGACTTGTTATTATCGATTTGTTTATCGTAGAATTTCCTTTTTTCTTCTCTAATTACATATACACATTTATTCCTAAGAGTTTTATATACCTCCCAATCATCATTTGATTTTGTGAATATACATTAATTTATTGTATTGTTTGTCTCTCAAATTTTGAGCTGCCTTAATATTCTTGTTATACCAGGGTGTATTTTTTGTCGAGCAAATCACTTTTTTATCAGTTGCAAGATCTAAACAAGTTTTTATATTTCCTATTATGTTGTCATATATTTTTCCATATTCTCACCAAAATTCCAATAGCAGCCAGCAAGTTCTCGTTCAAGTTTTTCGTACTTAATAGTATTTACGATTTTCTTAATTTTTGTATCAGAAAAATGCTCTACAAAGGGCAGCATTATCCAACTGTGATCGCTAACTTTAGGTGTATGTACAGCTTTAATCCCTGCACATTCGAAATTTACAATAACAAGATCTAACAAAGTCTCTGATAATGATGTTATTCTGGTACTCTCTTCAATTTTTTGCTTGAACCCATAGTTGTTTATGGTTTCTTTCAATTTTCTTGTTTTCATGCTTTTACCATAATAATTTAAATTAAAATCACCTAAAAGTATTATATTGTTTCTAAAATTCCACATTTTTCTTCAAAAAACGTTAAAAATGTATCCGCATCACTGTTTGGTGAACCGTAAAAAGTACAAAGATCATAACGTTTCCCAAATAATTTGAACTGTATATGTGCATACCAGTATGCATAGTCTAAAGTGGTACAGTCGAATAATGTGATCTGTATTTTGTGGTAAACATAAACCACTACACCTCCAGTATGTCTGGAGTTGGAGTTGCATCTGTAGGTTTTATAATTAGTAATTTGTAATTCACCATCAGTGATGTCTTCTGTAGCATGTGTTTCGGTAGGACATAATACAAGTGGTTTTCTCCATCTTAAAAACTGTTGAACTTCATCTATATTATTCAGGACTCCTTGTATGTTTGAATGGTATATTGAGTTATATTCATCACTTACAGATTTAGCCACGTCTTGCAAATCTGAGCTTAGTAGTTGCTATTCATTTGCATAACTAATTTTTTCCCTCTCACGTTCAATTTTCCTTTTATATACTTCACATTTTTTGTCAAATGGTCCATGATTAATAGATAATCCTAGATTGAAATCCTGGTTTGCACTTTTACAATTTGGACAGCATTTGTACATTTCACTGGTACTACAGTTTTCTGTTGAATGTCCTTCTAATCCACAAGTAATACATCTTCCTGATTTTATGCAGTATTTAGCTGTGTGGTTAAATCCGGTACATTTATAGCATCGCAAAACATTGATGTACTCGAAAACAGAGCAAACAGACATGTCGATAAAAATAACACCTTGATTCATAATACTTAAAAGTCACAGCATCCACTTCTAAAATTGCTTGATATTTAGTTTCATTTTCGTGACTGTAATTACTCTCATATGTGAATTTTCTTGAAAAGATTCATTTTGTGATTTTATAGTACTTATTAGCTCGTCTTCTCCATATTCTTGACAACATCCAATAACTTTGATTTGTAGTTTTTTGCTTATCTCTGAAGTTTTTACTGTATATGTTTCTGGCATTTTTGATTTTATTTCTTTATGTAGCTTCGCGTTATCATCTTTTGTTTTACATTGGATTTTCACCCCACCATCCTTCAATTCATAAACTTTTTCAATAGCAATTTTCAAACTGGTAGGATTCATAAATTTTGCGATGTCTTTCTTTGTGTTATTACACCCTTGTTGGTTATTAGGCTATATACAGTTATGACTGTATTTGTGGGTTTTAATATTGGTGATTGTTTTTTTGCTGTACGTGTTTGCAATGGTAAGCATTGCTGCTTATATTCTACCATTGTTGTAGGCGAATTAACGGTTGAAGGCCCTGAAGCTTTAACCATATTAGCGTAAGTTGTAATTGCTTCTTGTGACGGCTGTTGCATCTTCCCAATTTTTTTGTTTAATTGGTCTATCTTTTCGTACAATTCTTTTATTAAT